GGATTTGCCGGTTTTGTCAGTACTAACAAAATTTTATTCAATGATTGTGCAGTTCGTCAATCAGTAAAGCAAGGGATGGTTTTCAAAAGTATATCCGATCATAAATTGATAAGTATATCAAATTATTGAATAATCAGTCATGAGAAAATTAACATTAATACAAACATAAACAGAAATGAACACACGCCAAGAAAAAAAATAGGTAACTTAAAATTTACATCAAACGACACAATCCTACTTAACTAAATTTAAAAAATAATCATTTTCAAGTAAAAATGCAAATGCCCATAAAAACATAACAAAAAAATAACTAATACATTTAACAACATTTATGCTAAATAATAAAATAACATTTAAGCTTCTATAATTGCTAATAAACTTCAGAAGTAAGAACAGCATCACTCACTGGCGTGCGGTGAAATTTATACAAGGGGAAGCGATTCGATAAAGTTAATAAAAAAAAGTCGAAAAATATTTTTAACAGATCACTACTACCTAGATTCATATTACTTGCTATGAATTAATAATTAAAAAGCTTGGTCTCGTATAGGGAAGCGCCGGCGCGGCGCCGCTTCCATGGACCGCACGCGCCTGGCATCACTACTTATTTAAAAGGAATTTGATTTCGACCGCTAGAAAGTATGTATCTATCAATGGACTTTCGCATGTAACAAAAAATATTTTTTTAATTATTGATATGGTGTCCCGAAAGTACCGAAAGAACCGGGAATAATAATTTCCAGTGTTGGTTCTTTGATGTCTCAAAAGAAGCCCTATAGTGGATACCAATATGTTCTGTGGTTGAAGGCTCGTTATAGTTCAAGTTGTTATAGTACATATTTTAATTTTTAAGGTAAATTAATATTTGATAAGCTTTGTTTTGTTTTGGTTAGGTATAATATGTAATTTATTAATTTTATTTTTATTTTAATTTTATTAATTGTGGATTAATAAGCCTGACCAAGGGAGGATATCTGCCGGTGACAGTTGTATCTATCATGTTGATTCGCAGACAAATTGTATTTTCTGTCATCTTTTTAATGTCGTCTGCTTCTGATGCAGTTTATCAGAATTTAGAACATCATTAAAATTATACCGTATGATCGAAAAAGAAAAACGATCTTACTTCCATCTGTCTGTCCGTCCGTCTGCCCGTCTGTCCGTCTGAGAACTCCCATTCGAGTACCTCTATCCACCCGTCCCAAATTATGCGAAAATCAACCCACATTTTTCTTTCATATCAAATCCTTATGCCGGGACCCCATTAGGCCACACGCCACGCTATCCCACTTGGACCCACATGAGCCCACGTGTTGCGACGTGGGAAAGAGTGTACACATGAGATCTGAGACAGACAACGCACGTGTGATAGCGTGGGATGGCGTGGGGTGGCGTGTTGCCTAGTGTGTACGCAATACATATAATTAAATGGAAAAACATACTCACAGATCTTCATCACGTAGGATGGCATGGCGTGGCGGGGCGTGGCGTGTGGCGTAATGGGATCCCGGCTTTAGTCCCACACTGATGAAGATGTAAACGAAACGTCGGCGCCATATGCAACTTTGAAGGGGGGACCGTGTCCACCGCGTCGCTCACATAGCCTACCCACCCAATTTAGTCGCAATCGGATCGGCGTTTTTGTTCAGTTGTCAAAACTAACTGTCACAGTAACTCGTGTCGTACACGGGCAAGTTGGCTTTGGTCCAATCTATCGACATACCAAATTTCATTTAAATCTGACGATTTTTTTATTTGATTCATTGATGATGAGGTTTTTAGTTAGCAAAAAGATGAGGCTCTCCGAACCCCATCTACATTCCGACTTTCAGCTCCCTGGCTCACATAGGGCCGGAGTTACGGCGCTCCATAGACCCATCTCTACTTCCTCATGACTTACCACTTTTTTCGCGCCAGATCATGTATCAAGACCGTGTCATGTCACGGCCTTGAATTTTTATTCCGATCGCGCCTAAAGAAGTTTCACTTCAAAAATGCCTGACGTTTCAGAGGGTATATTACCCACAGTTATCAGAAGTAAAACTCAAAAAGAAAAACTATTTGAAATATCTAAATAAAACTACTCTAGAACACTTAAGCTTTTTTAGTACAGATAGTCTATTAAATTCGTTGACGTTTAGAAAAAAATGACATTACATAACAATGTAATATCTCGTAATATTTTAGTCATATATTTATTTCTTCTGTCGAATAGTTGGCGCTTATGTTCCTAAGTTCAAGTACCAACAAACGCACGCATACCTCTATATTTATTATAGCATCCGCTTTGAGACCTCCGACTGCTTTCTTCTATTTTTCCCTCCAATTTTCCACATCCGTTCGGTCTGTGTCTAAGAATACACGCACAAGAAACGCCTCAAACAACCATATTTATATCAAGAAAATTTGCTATATATTTCATTTTTGATCTAAAGTATAAATATTTTATCTCCTAAATAATTACCTGCAAAAATAATTTTTAAGTAATTATTGAAAATATCTTAATTAATTTTATAATGATTTTTTCTTGACGAATTACTAAATACGATTTATTGTCCTGGTGCAGATATTCAGATACTATTAATTTTAGTAGAACAGAACATCTAACTACTGTAATAATACAGTATAATAAAAAAAGGCGTCTAGTTGGATTGATCGAGAATATTAATCCCAGTATAATTTTATATACAAAATAACAGCGATCTTCAGATCATAGCCATCGCTGACGCCGTTTTTTTCTCGCTCATATTGTATTAGAACAACAATCAATTTTACATAATAAATATAAAGCTGGATAAAAACGGTAAACTGTTTAAAATTATTTTATTTGAACACTTCCAAACACAGTTGCAGTATAAGAAATATTGCAGAATTTCTTCCAGCAGTATGTATTTTAGCGTTGGCTCAACTCTAAAACTGCAGAGGTAATGGCATGGATCTTAAACTCAAATCATTCCATACACAGGGTGGTCCGAAATGTGTTCCGGAAACTTCGGCAGCATATTCTACAGATAAAAATAAGTGAAAAAGTTCGTATAAATGTATGTCCTAAAATGCTTAGTTTCGGAGATACAGGGTGTAGAAGTTTCATTTTTATTTCGATTTTTTCCAAATAATTTCTGAAGTAACGTCAATATTTGGATGAAAATTGGTATCTGGGAATTTTTTGACATGAGACTTGTTTTTTGACTCCTACTTGTAGAAAGCGCCACCTACATATTTTTTAACTAGTTTGAATACTAATAACTTTTCGTCCGTACCTGTATAAAACTACTGAGCAAAAATATAGACATTTACGATGTTTTTTATGTAAAGAAGTTCTCTTAGTAAAAATCGCTACGAGTAATGGTTCTCGAGATATTTTGAATCTAAATGATCAATACCTGTCATAATTGACATAAATTAAACACGCTGAATAAATAGTTGTTAGACTGAAATCATAAATTTGAAATGGATTTGTGCTAAAAGCTCAACAAAACTGTTCTTTTTTACGTAAAAAACGTCGTAAATGTATATTTTTTCACTCAGTTGTTTTATACAAGTACGGACGAAAAATTATTATTCTTCAAAGCAGTTAAAAACATGTAGGTGGCGCCCTCTACAAGTAGGAGTCATATTGGCTTCAAAACCAAATTTCTCATGTGAAAAAACTCCCAGATATCTACCAATTTTCATCCTAATATTGAATAATTCGAAATAAAAATGAAACTTTTACACCCTGTATCTCCTAAACTAAGCATTTTAGGACATACATTTATACGAACTTTTTTACTTATTTATATTTGTAGAATATGCTGTCAAAGTTTTCGGAATACAGTTCGGACCACCCTGTATACGGGGTCGCTGATATGTATGGGAACGGTCGATTATTAGGTAAAATATACGAGATATAACATACGAATCAAATGTATCATAGTCAAATCGAATTTATTATATCAATACCCAGATATCAATTTTCATCCAAATATTAACATTAATTTAGAAATTATTTGTAAAAAAACGAAATATGAAACTTCTACACTCGGTAAATCTCTGAAACGAAGAAATTTAGGACATAAATGATACGAACTTTTTTACCTTATTTTTATCTGCAGAATATATTTCCTAAATTTTCCTATTATAATTCGGACCGCCAAGTGGGCCAAAATGGAATATTATGAAAAAAATTATGTTATTATTTTCTATACATTTATCTATCAGATTTATTCATAAACTAGCGTGTACCAGCAACTTCGTTCGCATCGAATTAATAATTTGTAATGGTGATGATAAAGCAAAGCAAGAATTTCCATTAACATACAAACTGGATAAAATTTTCTCACATTTATGTCAGCATGAGAAAAAACAATATGGCGATATTATTATATAACTTGGTAATATTTGAGGGGTAGTTTCATCTCGTTGGAATTTGACTATCGAAAAATACGTTTGCCAAAAATAAGCTTTTTTACGTCAAGCAGTTTAAGCAGAATCGTGGTTAAGAAATTACCTAACTTTTTGGAACACCGTGTATGATTTTTTAAAAAACTTCAAAATATGTAAAAAAAAATTTTCGAAAAATCCCGTCTTATCGAACCTCTACACCCTAAAGTCAATCTGTTTTCCAAAAATCAGCTTTTTACGTCAAGCGCTTTAAGCAGGATCGTGATTAATCAATGACCAGATTTTTCGAAACACTCTGTATACATTTTTAAAAAATCTTAAAATATGTAAAAAAACAAAATAAAATATACGTGTTTAAGCTTTTTTTTCGGAAACTTGACCGTTATTTGAAAATATTGTAATATTTGAGGGGTTGTTTCACCCTCTTGGAACTGGAATTTCGAAAAATCCCTTCTTATCAAACCTCTACACCCTAGAATCAACCTGTATGCCAAAATTGAGCTTCTTACGTTGAGTGGTTTGAGCAGGATCGTGATTAATCAGTATGTCAGTCACTTAAGGATTTTATATATCAGTAGGTATAGATAATAAATATATAATCTAATATTTACTTACAGGGAAAGAAGCTCAGGAAGTCAAGAAGTAGTGACAGTCGAAAACAAAAACAGCGTAGCAGTAACAAATATAAAGGTAAGAAAGTGTAATGAAAGAAAATTTTAATTAAGTAAAATTTGATAAAATACTTTATCTCTATAGTCATACTAACGTTATACACTTATAGACAATGGTTATACGTAACTTGGATAAATCTGTTGTAGTACAACTATAGAATGAATAAATAGTATATTCTCAGAGCCAACAAATGATTCACACAAAGACCTGTTGATGGTCATCAATTTAACTTGAGATCTAATTTTATTCTGTAGTCTTGCGTTTGGTTGCAGCGGTTATCGTTTTCTAATTTTAAATTCAAAGGACCTCTCCTATAGTAAACAACTAATTATACACAAGAGTAAAATTATATTTATTAATAAATTAAAAAATTAATAAAAAATATAAAGTTGCACATAAACAAATAAAAAATATTACGGATGTTTTTTTAAAAACTCGCCCCTATAATTTTTTATTTTTTAAGATACAAGAACAAGATTTGGTATGTTACTAGAACATAAATCAGGATTGATTGACGTTTTCAATTACTTTCGGTCGCTTCTTGTTTCACGGAAAATGACTGTAAGTTATGATTTAAAAAAAATCAGTCAAAAAACATTTTGGGAAAAATGCATTCTTCATAAAAAATTTTGCTTGTTCTAAAATGGTGAATCCCGTTTATACTTTTCCCTTTTCCATAACGTTTTAGAGAAATTAAAAAAAAAACAGGAAAATATAGTTGAATTTGTTCTCCTTTGTAATATAATTTCGATTTCATTCTTTGATAGATTCAGAAAGGGTGATATAGTTATCGGAAAATATGATACATAAAGAACAGGAAAAATATGACGTTAATCAAACGTTAATCAAAATAAATAGATAATAACAATCTATCAAAGAATGGAATCGAACTTCAAATACCATAGAAACAAACGCCTTTAGATTTTTATTTTCTGTAAAACAGTATAGAAATTTGGAGATGTATAAACGGGATTAACCATTCTAGAACAAGCAAAATTTTTTATAAAAAATGAATTTTTCTCAAAACTTCAATAATAAAAAAGTTTTCCCCTTGTAAAAACAATCCGGAGACATACTGTAGATTAAAATTTAAAATACAATATGATTGAAAAAAAAACGGCGTCAGCAATGGTCATGAAATGAAGATCGCTGTTATTTTATATGTAGAATTATATGGAAAACGCCATCGATCTTCATTTCCAAGCCAACTGGACGCCGTTTTTATTCGATCATACAGTACTTATTTTTACAAGCGAAAATGACCAAAGTTATATAAGTATATAGTTAATAGACATATGATATGTCATATGTCATACTATTCAAAATGTCATTTTCTATCAAATAAAGTAAAAAAATAGCGAGGGTACCATTTCAAAATCAAAAGTTGATCTATCAGTTGATCATTTCCGATGAAACAGGAAGTGACCGATTCTAATTGAATAGTCAATCAATCCATACTAAAATATCAAATTTCTCTTTTTATCTGAAAAAAATAAATAGAAAAACTTTTGAGAAAATACACTCTATACAAAACCCCAATTGTAGAATAAGTAATAAATAACATAAACTAAACTCAGTAAAGACAAACAAATCTACAAATATTTAAAGAAAATTCAAATAATGCTTCAATTGAAACGTCAAATAGAACTTTCAAGGACCTATGATGTCGATTCCATTATACTCCCTTTTTTATATTCTAAAAAAGGTCCGAGTTAATAAAAAGACAAATGGGGTTATTATTTCTCTGAATGAAAAATACTTTTTTTTGGTCCTCCTATATCTTTTCTATGCAACGAGCTTCAGTAATATTCATTTCCTTCAGATGACAGAAGAAATCGTTAACATTTCTCAAAGAAAAAGAGACTAAAAAGGCAAAAAGGATTACACCGAACTTCTTGTAATTAGGAATTGGCAAATGTTCAAAAATAAGTTCCGTTGAAACCAACCCAAGGAATGTTGTTTTCGTAGACTTGAATATTTATTTTTTAGTCTTTTTCGAAGCTTAAACTTTCTTTTTGATGTCTGAAATTTATCCGTGATTAAATAGACGAGTCAAAATAAAATAGAATAAAAATGTTCTTTTAAAATATTAGCATAATCTTCATTCTTCAAAAAAAAATATTTGCATTAGGATAAAATTGTACGTTCTAGCCTGTGTTCTAGCGATAAGTTTTAGAAATATGTACTTCAATAATCTTTAATCTTTAATAAATTAGATTTAATTTTAATACGAGTGAAAATACAGGGTGGGTCAAATTGGACGCTTTTAGGGAAACACCCTTTTCTATAGGAAAATAGGTAAAAACTAATATCGGTGTCTGGAGCTCAATTTTCATCAAAAACATAATGGTGAAAACCGCACATCGATACAGATATCGATGTGCAAAAAAGTTAAGCAAAAAAGTTACAGCGATTAACTCCCAGTTAAAAAAAGTTACAGCGCATTTTTAAAAAATCGCTGTAACTTTCTTGCTATGGAAAATTTTTGAAAATTGGAATTTAATGGTTTAAGTATAATTTTTGTTAAAGTAATAATTTAATAATTATCAACAGAAAATTCGATTTTTTGTATGGAACACTCTGTATATTTTTTATTTACTAAAAACAACTTAAAATTACCTTTCCAAAAATATAGCACACTTGATATTTTTCTCAAATCCCCTGCGAAATACAGAGATTTTAAAGTTTTCCACTTCGAACTAGTAGACTTTGGGCGGCTCGGCCCTAAAACAGAAAACAAATGGTATTGACAGTTGTCAAATTGTGATTTTAGCATAAATACAATGAGTTTTAGTTTAAACAATGAAATAAATTTAAAATGAAATTTGCAAATTACGAAAAATGGGATATGATAATTTGTTATATAATACAAGTCGGGGAGAATGCAGAGACAGCAAGCAATTTGTATTACGACCAATATTCAGAGAGAACGCAACCTTTTAAGAACATTTTCGGTAGAGTGCAGGTAAGTACCGTATGATCGAATAAAAACGTCAGCGATGGCTATGAAATGACGATCGATGACATTTCCCATATAATTTTACATATAAAATGACAGAGATCTTCAATCATACGGTATTTCCTAGCGACTAGGGTTTTGTTGTCCTCATGTATAGGAGTTATACAGGAGGATAACAAAACTCTAGTGCAGTAGTGGAGCGGAGAAATCAAGGAAGATTTGGATTAAATGTGTGGGCTGGTGTGTGTGTTTTTAGGGGAGGATCATTGGCCCATTGATTTATGATGGCACTCAGAGATATTGGCAATTTTTAAGGCAACAAATAGAACCCCTTATTGTTGATCTTCCCTTAATGGAACTCAGAGACATATTTTTTCAACAAGACCGGGCACCGCCTCACAACGCTGAAATTATCAGCAATTTTTTAACAGCCAACTTCGGGAATAATTGGATAGCTAACCAAGCTGCTGTTCCAACTGCTGGTCGGCGAGATCGCCGGACTTAACACGCATGGATTTTTATCTCTGGGGAAAATTAAAGGAAATTATTTTTAAATCACCCGTATACTCCCAATAAGAATTAGAACTAGCGGTTATGCGAGGGTTTGCATCTCTCACCCCTATTGAGTTAATGAATTCCGCCAGAAATGTCCAGAAACGGTGCCGTCTGTGCATCAGAGAAGACGGTCGACATTTCGAACACCTCTTGTAGAAAAATTACTTATTATTATTCTGGTTTGTTATTTTTATTTTATTTTATATATCACTTTAGTTTAAATGTGTTTTTGTTGTTAAATATAGTTTAATTTGTTATAAAATTGACCACATTTTATTGTATGTATTTGTTTTTTTTTAATTACTGATTACAGCTACCGGTAAGCATTTGATTTTTGCATTATATTGTAGCGCCGCGCCGTCCAAAGCCTACTTATTCCAAGTGGGCGAACTTTTAAAAATCTCTATTTCAAAGAGAACTCAACTAGCAAATCTCCCCCAAAAATATTGAAAAATTTTCAACATTTTTGTGTTTTTACGAAACAAACCTTATAGACATTTTCCTGGGTCGAACCTTAAAAATATTTGCACTCATTTAAGACTCACCCTGTAGGTATATTATCATCCGTTGTACCTGTTCATGAATTTTCTCGGTAAAATTAGATCAAACGCATATTCAGTTAAACCAGCTGAGTTATTGCTTGAAATCTCTTTAATTTTAATACGCCATTTAACAGACTATAGCCATATGTCAGGGATCATAGGCTTCAGCCGTCAGTAGTAGATAACGAAAAAAATGGCAAAGGCTTTTCCAGAATTTTCAAAGGAACATTATTTCTGACTCCATTAATACGATAAACATGTTTGACAGTTAATAATAAGTTGATATTTGTTCATACATAGTGCATCATGATAGTGCATTCTGACATAATCAATTTCTAGAATGTTTAAATTTTTTTGTAGAATATTTAATTACTATCTAAGAAAGGGTAACTAAAATTCCTAAAAAAAAGCTCCATTAACATAAAAAGTCAAATCTGTACAGGGGGTTCCATTTTTGTATGTTTTATAGGGCTTCTCGTTTATGAGTAGAGATCCAAAGATACGGTTTTTACATCACTGTGCTATTTTTTATGAAGCTAAAGATTTAAACACAGCTTTGTCCTAGTCCTTTTGTCCCTGAAATACCGGGCGAATTTGCAAATTTTGCATATTTCGAGTCGAAATGTGATAACTCAGGCCCATAGAGTTTTCACGTAGAATCCAATGGCGTTACTAGTTTTTGGTTGGAACGTCATTTTTAAAATATGAATCAAACTTATGTTTTTTCCAATGATTAAAAAAATTAAATAATTTTTTATATAGTATATTTTCTAAAAATATACTATTAATAATAATTATTCCAATATATTATATTATATTATACAGGGTGTCCTAGAAATAAGTGCAAGTATTTTAACTGATAGTATAGTTCCCCATAAACAGGCCTATGAGGTTTTTCGCGAGAAAAAATTTTGAAATATCGAAATTTTTGAAAAATTTTTGGATTTTTTTAGTTTTTAGTT